TAGGTCACCTGTATGTCCTACAGAACTAAAATTTTTTCCAGCACTTCCACTGAATTTGGTTTGCCTCACTGCAACCTATGGTCTATTCAAAAGTCAGTTATATCTTACAAAATATGCAAAAGAAACTAACATCTATATCTCCAGTCTTCATTCGAATGTTACCAACAGACATTTTTTGGACACTAAATATCACAGCGTTCAGACTGGTCACACACGGAGTCTGCAATGATTAGTGTCTTACTGTAATAAGTACTGTAAGCACAATATTTCCTATTTCACCGAAGGTTTGATCAAACATCCCCAAAACATTTGACAATACAATAGCAGCACTATGTGGTTGGTTATTTTTTTTTTTTTTTACATTTTGGCTAATAACTCATGAACTCTTAGAAGTAGAAGAAAGATTTTTATACAGTGGAAGATACTTGGAACATGCTGATTTTAGATTTTGGCAGGATTTTTTGCTTTGAGGTGAAATGTCAGTGATGAATTACTTCTGTGGTCATTATATTTGGCTTTGCAAAAACATCGTCACAGGTCATAGTTCAGCCATCACAGGTAGTAAACAAAATGTAAATGTGTTAAATATTTTACATTAATCAAAAAGAATCAACACGTATACATGCATACCTGTCTTCACAACAACCATCCATCTTGTTATCAGGAGCAGGGATGTTATGATACCACTAATTTTGTGGTCGATACCAAAATTTGTGAAATTCCATGATTATCGATATGTGATTCAAAAGTAAAAGACTGAAACAAAACAATAAGTCTTCTTCAACACACACTCCTTTATTAATAACATTTCAACATTACAGAAAATAACATTTAATCTGCTCACCATGCTTTTCCCTTCAGTGAGGTTTTCTGAGTACGTCACATTTTCAGAAGTATCGGTTGTCTTGACTCGCATGCTATTCTGACGTCAGTAAATTGTGGCAATGTGAAGAGAAAAAAGGTCCGTGTGGCAAAAATGCACTGATGGTTTTATTCTGGTGCAGCTCCTGAAGGGAGTTTGACTTTTCTTTTTTGCTTTTCTGCGACTATCCGACTAATAAAAAGTGGTTTAGTCAACTATTAGGGGCAGGCCTAGAGTTTTTAAAGATTTCAGTAGGAACCAATGGGCTCTGAGATGCATTATTTAGAAAACTAACTCAGATGTATTGTCTCAGTGTTTATAGAAGCTCTGATGTCCTGTGACCAGTCTGTCAGTGAGCTGCTGCTGGGTGATCGATCACTGTGCTCAGAGCTCTGAAACTTTACTGTTTCTACTCGCCCACCGGCACCCCGCTGACACCATCACATCTAACTTCATGTTGTGTCAAAAGTGAGGTGGGGCTGATTTATTCGCTTCCTATTTGCCATCTTTTGCTCAGCATGCAGGCGGAGCTCCAAGGCAGATCAACTCCCCAGTAGAAAAACAAAAGTTGTAAAAGGCCACCAGTACGCAGAAATCCATCTGAGGGAGAGAATGCAGAGCTGTAAGAGCTCCTGTTGGGCCGCCATCATCTCCCAAAGAGACACAGAGCCTGGGGGACAAACTGCGGCGAATGTCTTCATCAGCCCGCCTTCCCCGTTATCATATAATTGTTTGTGATGTTAAAACGGGTGAGTCAGAGGGAGGAGTGACACCTCCTGCTGCTGCTGTGAGAAAGCAGAGTGGTGGCCTGCTGAGTGAGGCACAAATTGTTTCTTCCCCTTGTTTTCTTGGATTTATCTGATTTATTTCTCCTCTATGAAACCTGCTGCTTTCACTGTAGCCGTCTGCTCAGACTGATGTCTACCTGAGCAACAGGTGAACACAAAAGACTGAAACAAGTCCTGCATTCACAACCTTACTTAAAAATACAGTATGCAATTTCTGCCACTAGGGGGTCTCTCATGTCAAAACAATAACTAAAGAGGAAGTTTGATGAGGTCCGTTAGACTTCCTTGAGTGGTCATGGTTTAGGAGGTTTCCTCTGGAAGTAGAAAGTAGTATGACGTAAATAGAAATACTCAAGTAAAGTACCTTGAATTTGTACTCCTTTGTGATGACTCACCTTCTGCTGTGGACTTCACTGGTGCTCTGTCGAGACTGTTGGTACAGAGCAGCAACTTGGGGGCGGGCGCTCTGTTTGATTGACACACAGTCCTGTCCTATTAGCCTTTCTTACTGACATTTTGAGGGACTAGACAGTCACAAACTCCTGCCAGCACAAGACAGAAACTGAGTTCAAAGAAGAAGTTTCAGGAGTTCGTCAGCAGCTTTGATTCTTTGCTGAAGTCAAAAGGTTGCTGGGAAATCAAATTGACAACATGAATTTATAATCTGCAATGAATTCCATTCAGTTCATTCATTCTCACTATGATCTGAACTGAGAGGTGTTTTATTCTTTGCGGTGTGAAGCTCTTTACCGAGCTGGTGGCGCAGACTCTCTGTTGCTATGCAACTAAAGTGAAAGGCCGTTTGAAGTGTGACGCTCTGATTAAAGCTGAGATGTTTCTGAGTTTCTCTGCAAGAAGAAAAAACACAAGCTGGGCCGTCGACAGCTCTGAGCTGCAAACCGGGAGGCATCAACCACGTAGAGAATAAAAGTTTCAGATGAATCTTCTGGAGGGTTTCACCTCTGATCCTACACAACACTGACCACCAAGATCCAGCAACCCAACAAAACTGGCATGACCATTTTTGTAAGGGGATTCCTTGACCTCTGACCTCAAGATATCTGAATACAGGCACTTTATGCTAACCCCATGTAGTTTTGGGCAAAAACTACGCAGTCTTTTGCATGTTGTATAAATGTGTTATTTTCGCCTATTGTATGTGAATAATTCTGCATACATAGGTCCATAAACAGTGTTGGAATTATATAAATCGAAAAAAGCTGGAAAGCTGAGACGCATACTTCATTCCACCCCTGTATAAGCCAGTGCCCCTCTTGTGACACCTCAGTCAAAAAAGTCTATACGCTCTAACTGTACAAACACACTAGGAGACTTAGTTTCAGTTAGTTTACAGAGTTGATTTGCTTGTCTTAAAAATGTTTAGTTTTAGTTTAGTTTTTATTAGTTTTAATTTTATAGTTCGTAATGATTTTTTTTACTATAATATACAAGGCTAATTCAGAATAAATATATTACAAAATTGTATAATAACATTTACGAATTTGTAAAGCACTTTTCATACAAGCAAAATTTAACACAAAGTGCTTCACACATTGCAATCCAAATGAAAATTGATTGAAAACCAGACAAAAAAGGTAAGTTTTTAGTTTGTTTTTAAAAATGTCAACACTCTCTGCTGTCCTCAGGTCCTCAGGAAGGTTCCAGAGACGAGGACTATAGTGATAAAAGGATGCCTCATCATGGGTCTTTGTTCTGACTTTGGGGATAATTAAAAGGACACAGCCTGAGGACCTGAGTGTTCTTGAGCATGGGTCTCAAACTCTGACTTGATTAAAAAATCCAGCTTGGAAAAATATAGGGTGACTGACTTTTGAATAGACCATAGGTTGCAGTTAGGCAAACTTTTGTCACAATTTAGTGGATTAAATTCAATTAAATTTTATTTGTATAGCGCCAATTCATAACAGAAGTTATCTCAGGACTCTTTTCAAAAAGATCAGGGGCCTCATGTACTAACGT